AAGCCCAGCAGGCACGGTCGCCCCTGTGCCTCCTCCACAGTGAGGAGCCAGCCAGCCTTCTCTCCCCTCACTCCCTGTGGAGATGAGTTCCAGGGACAGCCCCCCCCACCACTGGGACTACGTAAGGAAAGCTCTTCCTGCCCTTCACCGCCCCCACCATGCCCAGCTGAGGTGTGCAGTTTTATACCCAGTTCTTACTTACGGACTTCTGACTAAAAGATGTTTCTAATGCCTGGGAGAGGATAGGATGGAGATGGTGCCCTCAAAGGAAGGGCTAGGGAAAGATGTTTATACTAACCACTTCTGAGGGCGGGCATACCCCCTTCAGACTTACTTACTGCAGTTTTGAAGTGGATACCGAGAAAACAAGCCCTTTAAAAGGGAGATTTTTAAAAAGACACATTGGAGCCCACAAGAAAGTAACTTTTTTTTTTTTTTTTTTTTTGAAGGGGAAGGGCGGGTTTTAAGAGGAAGTGAGGTTTGGGGTGAGCTATGGGGATGGAATAGGGTACCAAGCCTGTCTTCTTGCGCCCCTTGGGGGTACTGAGTCAGCCCCTCCCCCATTCCAGTCCATGCTAACCCTTCCTGCTGCTCGTCATTGTTGCTGTTTTAGGCCACCCCAGCTCAGCCAATGACCTTTCCCTCTGAATGTCAGCTTTGTGTTTGTTTTTTAAAAGTCACCTGCTTAGTTGATGTCAGCGTATGTGTATTTGGTGGGGAAACGTTTGGGGGGATCCCGTGGTAGGTCATAGACGAAGGGCCACAATGGAGGCTGTTCCTCTGCTTCCCTGGTTGAGCGGTAGAGGACATGGAAAAGGGAGCTCTAAGAGGATGGGAGTCTGCAAACCCTGGAAGTCTGAAAAGCTCCTAAGCACTCTGCTAACTCGTGCCCTCTCCCTCCAAGCCTGGCAGAGCCTCCATAGCTGGGAGTTGCCCAAACGAGGCCAGAGGTTGAGACCCGCGCAGCATGGCTCTGCCTCCTAGGCTGCAGGGCCTCTGCACCCAGTCCCCCTCCCCCTCCTTGTGAGGTACACAGGGTTCAGGCCCCGCACCAGTACTTGGTCCTGCCAGGCCCTTTGTCCCTCTGTCCAGTGTTTCTCTTCCTCTGCATCCTGGCACCTTTCTTCTGTTCAAAGTTTTCTGTAAAATTTTCCTTTCTCTGTTCTTTTCTTTCCTTTTTTCTTCTTTTTTTTTTATAAATTAATTTGCTTCCAGTTCCACCTTGTGGATGCCTCTGTGTTCTCTTACCTGTGGCTACTTGGCAGGGGGCAGACTGGGCTGGGGCAGCCTTCCTGGAGTCCCTTCACTGGACATTTACCACAGGCCCATAAGAGGCCAGAGGCAACCCGGCAATTAGGACTCATTGCAGTGGCGGCGGCAGCAGCGACTCTCTCCTACCCTGAAAATAGCTCTTGGAAGCACATCCTACAGCATGGACCAAATCCTTTCAGACAGTGGCTACATTCCTTCCCTTATTAGGGAGGAGGCAGGCACACACACCTATTGTTACTGGCCCCATTTCTGCAGATGGGACAGTACTAATATGTCCTGGCATTTTAGTGCCAGCAAACATTCACAGGCTTTCCCACAAAGGTGCAGTACTTGAGAGGATGGGGGCCTGTTTCAAAGAAGCCCTAGGGCCAAGAAATTTAACCTGACACAGAACAGAACAAAACAGTGCCCACACACACAAAAATATGCAGCTAGCTCTGATCCTATATGGGTTTATGGCTTCCCTTCATTCCCCAAAGGGAAGCCTTTCATTAACGAGGCCCTAATCCAGCTTCCCTAACCCCAGCCCTCAGCTTTGAGCTTTGTCTCGGGACAGATATTACCACCTCAGCTTTTCCTCCCTCACCATGCTCAGGGAAGAAAACAGAACCAGAATAGGGCAAAGAGAACACTTTATTCAGTGAGGGCAAACATCATCCAGAAGAGACCGGATGGGCAAGGTGCTGTGACAAGGGAGCCTAGGAGGGGCCACATCGACATCTCCCTCTGGGCAAGGCACCGGCTGGGGATATGGAAATGTCCTCAGCCATTCAGCACCATCCGGACGAGCTCTGTGGAGAGGAGAGCTGGAGTAAGCCAAGGGACGGGCTGGGGAGGGGTACACCATGGGCCAGGAGACTACATGCCCACAGCAACCAACCTTGGGGTCAGTTTGCAAAAGGGTCACCTTGAGTGGCCAGTTCTCTCTGTCCCTGGTTCCCCTCCCACCAGCTGTTAGTCCCCCACCCCACGCTGAGCAGCAGGACACAGCAGAGGCAGAGGAGGTCTCCACTACACCTATAACTACTGTCAGCCACTGGCAGGAGAAGACAGCTTTGGGTTAGGGTACCTCCAAGCTGTCCAGCAGAGGGATGGAAAAGAACTGTCCTGTTACAGCAGCAGAATGAGGCAAGCCTTGTCTACAAGCTGGTGAGTTTGCAGACACCAGTACCAAGACCCTGTAAGTCCAACCTCAAAGACCGGAGAGAAGTAAGGAGGTACCACAACCCCAAGCTGCTTTCCTTATTATCGAGGGATCCCTCCCTTCCCCAGCCAGCTCCATGCAGAATCATGCCAGGAAGAAGTCAGCTGGGAGTAGGCTATGGGCAGGGGCTAGAGAGCACAGGTTGGGAAAAAAGGAAACACCAGGGAAATACTAGAGAGGCTGGGAGGAGCCGTACCCGCCCCATGGGCCCGTCACCCCGACAGGATATGCCTCACAAATGCTGCAGGAAGGAAGAGACATTAATGGTGAAGACAAGACACAGACATGGGGTGAAGGGGTCAGGCAGTGGGGAACAGACATTCTGTTTACCCCCATTCCCTACCCACCCTTGACACTCCATCATCCCTTCCCTTACCGTTATACCCCCAACAGCCCCTCCCAGGCTGGACTGGGCCTTGCCCCTCGACTTCTGGCTCCCTTTTGGAACCAAGCCTGTCCCTAGCGTGCCCTCCTCAAAGGTCCCAGTTCACAACTGGTCCCTTACCTTCGTAGTTGATGCAACCGTTGCTGTCCTCGTGCCCAGCCACCAGCATCTCTACCTCTTCCTCTGTCATCTTCTCCCCTGCAGAGGAAAGAGCACTTTGTAGAACTGGGTGGCAGGTGAGGCTTATCAAGGTGGCAGCTCAGCTCCAGAACAGGTCACAGAACCTTACCCAGTGTGACGAGGACATGGCGGATCTCTGCACCCATGACGGTACCATTCCCTTCCTTGTCAAACACTCGAAGGCCTTCAACGTAATCCTCGTAAGTCCCCTGGTCCTTGTTCTTGGCCACCGTCTGCAGCATGGGCAGGAAGTGCTCAAAGTCCAGAACTTTCACGTTCATCTCTGCCGTGCGGGAGGGACAAGTGTCACACAAGAGGAATCACACAAGTTCCTGGAACACAAGTGAGCCGATAACTCTGGCCAGAAGAGGGAAACCCGTGGGGCTGGCTCTCTGGGCCCTGTGAAGATAGAGGGGTGCATTTAGCCCGACAACCATAAACCCGCTGGCACACTAAGCTCTTGCTCACCGTCACTCTTGGGGTTCCCCAGGACCTTGAGCACCTCGGCGTTGGTTGGGTTCTGGCCCAGAGCCCTCATCACATCCCCACACTGGCTGTACAGGATCTTGCCATCACCGGTTCGGTCAAACAGCTGGAAAGCCTCCTTGAATTCTAAGGGTTCAGAAGAACAGCAGCACAGGGGATTGAGCCTGTCCTCCCTGCAGAACTCTGCCGCCAATCAAACTTTAGTCATGCTGGAGGAACCGGATCTCTTGTCCTGTACACCCGAGGCTGCTCACCGGGATCCATTTCTACCAGCTCAAGTGTCCCACATAAAGACACAGCCCTCCTCCGCCCAGCACAAGGTGGTAGCCACCTGCTTATTTACACACCCCCTGAGCCGGCAGCTGGCTAGGTTCTTCACCTACAGACACTAGAGGAATTCGCCACCGCCCGGGCTAGGTCCTGTCCATATAAGGAAGTAGGAGCCGCGCTAGGGACTCCAGGGTCATTCCAGCTTTCCCCTTCCAGGAGAAGCTAAGTCACATTCCTAGCAAACTCCCCAGTCCCCATCTTCACGAAATATCTAGTCACTGCTCTTGAGAGTATTCACAAGGAGGGGACAGTTATCACGGGAGAGGCAAAAGTGGCCGATTAGAAGAGGCAGACACAGTCATAAGTAGGCACACAACAGGCATTAATCGAACAAAGTCGTTGCACACACCCACACCACCTAAAACTCACCCAGTGCCTGAGGCTCAGATCTAGAGTGGGAGGGGAAGGAAGAAAGAGTGAGAACAGAAAATGGAGGATCCAGAGAGGAGGAGAAGGAAACCCGCGGGGCACTCCCGGGAGTGAAGCAGAGATGACAGGAGGGTGACCTCAGCTGGGGGCCAGAGACTGCCTACCTGCGGTCTGGTCCTCGGTGAAGTCACACTGCTCGGAGAAGAAGGGATTGGTGAGCACCCGAAGTCTACCCGGGCCTTACAAACTGAGCCACAACTCCTGTTTGCAGCTGAGGACTCGCTTCCCCAGGCACGGAGAGAGCGCGAGCCCCAGGCCTCCCACCCCCGCCGAGCTTCCGAGCCCCGGGCTTGCCCTAGCCCGCACCCACGGGCTCGCCTCCCCGACCCCACGGCTCCCTGCTCCCCACAGCCCGCTACGCTCCCGGCACCCGGGGCCCACCATCTCGGCCGCTCTGCTCTGCTCTGCTCTGCTCTGCAGGACTTGCCCCGGCAGTAATGGCTCCGACTCCGGGCCCAGCCCTAGCCTTACTACGGCCCCTGGCGTATGACGTCACCCTCCGCGGCCCCGTCCAATAGGGATGCTAGTCTGGGCCCGTGCCGATGACATCACCACAGTAATGAGACGAGAGGCCCCGCCCTCGGTGCGACTCGCTGGGTGTCTGTCCTTCCCGAGCCGCACCGAGAGCAGCGAATCTGCGCTTTGGCCGAAGGCAGGACTGAGTACCCACCCGCCTCCTTCCCCTTCCTGCAAAGAAAGCAGTCGGAGACCAAAGCAGGAGCCAGGTCTTTATTTCAAAACTCTAAGTGCCGCCTAGTGGCAGGAACGCGCCTCGGGCGGCCGGGAGGCGTGGCAAGCGTCCGACCCCGCTGGCTTGCGCTGCACACCGACGGGAAATCGCTCTGCCTGGTCGTCTGTCTGGTCGGTCCAGGGCGACACTAGGGTCTGGAGGAGCTCAGAGGCTTAGGATGTGCTTGAGGAAGGCTGCACGAGAGGAGGTGAGAGGGCTTCAGACTCTGAAGCGCAACCCGTGGAACTTTAGGTAATGGAGGGTGCTCCCACCCACACGAAGGTCTGTTCGTGCCCCCTCACCCTCATAGTTGATGCAGCCGTTGCTGTCCTCGTGGCCTGCCAGGACAGTCTCCACCTCCTCCTCCGTCATCTTCTCCCCTGAGCCCCAGACACAGTTAGAGCCCCTGACTCACTAGCCCAAGCCACTCCCACCCTTCTCTTAACATAGGGCCCTCATCAGCGGTGCCTTGGAAACTGGTCAGAGTTTTCACAGACAACACGAGGCAAGCAAGAGTTGAGACTTGCGTGGAATCAGCACAAGTCTGGCTTGCAAAGCGGGACTTGGGGCGCTCACCTCATTCCCTCTTCTCTACTGTAGCCTCTGGATGAGCGAGCCCCTCAGATTCTGCCTCCCCAACTCGGGCCCCCTCAGCCTCCTCCAGTTCTGGTGCCCGCCTCACCGAGAGTGGTGAGAACATGTCTGAGCTCCGCTCCCATGACTTTGCCATTGCCCTCTTTGTCAAACACGCGAAGCCCCTCTAGGTAGTCCTCATATGTGCCTTGGTCCCGGTTCTTGGCCACTGCTTGGAGCATGGGCAGGAACGTCTCAAAGTCCACACGCCTGGACTTCAGCTCTGGAGAGTAGAAAGAGAAGAGAGGCCGAGCAGTGGTGGCACACTTTAATCCCAGCACTCGGGAGGCAGAGGCAGGCCGATCTCTGTGAGTTCGAGGCCAGCCTGGTCTACAGAGCAAGTTCCAGGACAGCCAGGGCTACACAGAGAAGCCCTGTCTCAAAAAAAAAAAAGAAAAAAAAAATTGAGGTGTAGGACCGAGTTGCTTCCCTTCCTACCATGTCGACTTTTATCCCCTTCAGCATTCAGGGTGTTTTCCTGCCCTATGTTCAATAGCTTGTGAAGTTCTGAGGTCCATCCAAGAACCCTTGGTCACCTTACCAATATTCTGCCATGGAAAACTGAAATGGCTGGGAGACATAGCGGCCAGGCAAAATTAGTACCAGCCGGAACAATTTAGTGAGACTTCATCTCCACAGAAAAATAAAAAAAGGAAGCACTGGGGAGTAGGGAAGTGGTTGGGACACACTCAAGACAGAAACCTGCTAAGCCAGGTGTAGTGGCTGGCAACTTTAGTCCCAGCAGTCAGAGGCAGGGGCAGGCAGATCTCTGAGTTCGAGGCCAGCCTGGTCTATGCAGTGAGTCCCAGGACAGCCAGGCCTGTTAGAGCTGCTAGGATAGATCTGTAGGTTCAAGGGCAGCAGATGCCACAGTGAGGTCAAGGCTGCCCCAGTAACTTACTGAGAACCTGTCTCAGAGTGTAAAAGGGCATGGCTGTAGCTCAGTAATAAAGGGCTTGCCAGGTGCTGGATTCAACTCCAGCACCCTAGCAGGCAGAAGCAGACAGGAGGTGGAGTACTGGGATTTAAGGTCACTCTTGGCCAGGACACTGAAACCCTTTCAGGGTTGTGGGGAGTCACAAGCTGGAAACGGAGCTCAGTTGTGCTCGCTCTGGCGACACATCTATTAAAATCAGAACGATACCAAGATTAGCCTGGTCCCATTGCAAGGATGACACACGAATTTGTGAAATGTTCCGTATTAGAAAAGGAAGGAAAGGTGTGCTGGCGCACGCCTTTAATCCCAGCACTAGGGAGGCAGAGGCAGGAGGATCTCTGTGAGTTCGAGACCAGCCTGGTCTACAGAGCGAGTTCCAGGACGGCCAGGACTACACAGAAACCCTGTCTTAAAAAAGAAAGGAAGGAAGGCAGTTAGTGTCCCAGGGCAGAACCCTGTATTCAATCTCCAACACCAAGAAAAAGAAAATTGAGAACGTCCACATAGTCCAAGGTCCCTCTCACCGTCACTCTTGGGGTTCCCCAGGACCTTGAGCACCTCGGCGTTGGTTGGGTTCTGGCCCAGGGCCCTCATCAGGTCCCCACACTGGCTGTACAGGATCTTGCCATCACCCACTCGGTCAAACAGCTCAAAGGCCTCTTTGAACTCTGAGATGCAAGGAGAAGGCAGTGTTGACCAGGGATTCCCATCACCTCCAGACATAGAGGAGGGTTCATTGGGAAATTTCATGCTCGAGCTGGACCAAGCAAGGGAGGAAAAGAGGACAAGTGTGGGAGGTTTCAAGGTCAGGGCTGCAGTTAAGAGAACACAGGATCTGACCAGGGGTTTGGGATTGGACAATGGGGCTTAGGAAATGGCTTCTCCTCACCCTCCAGCTGGTCCTTGTTAAACTCGATCTGTTGGGGGGGGGGAGACAAGTAAGGAGAGATGACAGAGCCTCCCAACCCACTGGCAGGCTCTTCTGGGGAGGGGCCCTGCCATTTTAGTTCCATTCCCGGCTCTGGGCCTTGGGAGAATCCCAAGAGGAATTATAGGGGGGAGGGTTTCCTGGGAACAGGGTTAATCCCATACCACCTGTTCCCTCCCTCCACTGCCCTGAGCCCTGCATCCCTCACATAACTGGGGGCTGAACAAAGGCTAAATTTACCCCTGCCCCCAGCTGTGATTGTCTAACAAGCCTGTCCTCTCCAGTCCCCCCTCCTGAGGTTCAGAGATGTGGCCTTTTGAGTTAGAAAGACACCAGCTCTCTCCCTTCACCTTGGAACTGGCCTGGCCTGGCCTGGCAACCCCTTCACACACAGTGCCCATTCATCCCCTCCTTTGCCCACACATTCTCTAATGCCCTAGGCTGTATCACATCCTTGAACCACCCCTTTCCAAATCCACACTTCCCTGGCACTTACCACCACTTTGGAGAGATCAAGGGGGGGCTCCTGGGTTTTTGCCGGGGTCTGGGGGGCAGCTGAGTCAGCCTTGGTCTTGGCTGGAGGGGTCCCTGCTGTAGACTTGGCCGCAGGCTTAGAGATGGAGGGCCCTGCTGGTTTCTTCACAGGGACATCCTTCTTGGGAGGCATTATGTCAGGTGGCCAAAGGACAGTGTGCCGATGGGGGCACCCATCTCTGTTTAAATAGGCAGGGAGTCTGGGATGTCAAAGGGGCGGGGGCAGGGGCAGCGAGCCAGTTGGCGGTGGCAAGGGTGAGGGACAGGAGAGTTATGCCTGTCTGCCTTCACTCCCCTGGTCTCCTGCAGTTCAAGACTTCTTCCTTCCAGAGTTTTCATCCCCCTGCCTGTCCTCCCCCAAAGCGGACTAGAATATTGTTTCCTTTGAGGGCAGGGGCAAGAAACAAGAGACTTCTCAGATTCAACCTCCAGGGTGAGACTAGGATGCTTGCCAGAGATAGGAAGGGGTGAAGAGAAGAGGGAAAGAAAACCAAAAAAAAAAACTCAACCGACAGGAGACCCTGCATTAGCTGCTGTAGACTGTAGAAGGCCCAGCCCAAGCAATGGAAGGACATGGGATGGAGCAGGACCCGGGCAGCACAGGAGCCCAGAGTGAAGTGGGAAAATCGTAAATGAGGTCTGGAAACAGTAAAAGAGGTGTGTGTGTGTGTGTGTGTGTGTGTGTGTGTGTGTCGGGGTCTTTCCACTGCCTTTGCCCATACCCATAGTTTAATGAGCATTAGAATTTGTAGTTCCCGGTCCCTCACCTACCCCCAACCTGGAGCCATGCACACACAGCAACCGCAAAGTGACATTACCCTCTGCTTTCTGCCCCTAGTGCTGAATTAGGCGTGCAGGTGTCGACAAGGTCTAGGTTTAGCATACGCCCACATACTTTCAACAAGGCACTGTTATTCAAATCAGACAAAAGGCTAGGATGCCTAATGAGTTAGGCGGGAGGATGCGCGCGCGCGCGCGCGCACACACACACACACACACTCTCTCTCTCTCTCTCACACGAAGGGAGGTCTCTGGGAGACAATGAGCCTACATTCTCTAATCCAAAAGGTGATAGGGTCTCCGGATTTCGTGGGTATTCCCACTCCCACACCCCAATCAGCCCCATGATAAAAAAAAAAAACAAAAACAAAAAACTGAGCTCAGCTTTCAGTCACAAATCTTGCTGCAAACGATGGCAAAGGGAAGAGGTCGTGTTTGGGAGTTGGGAGGAGGTTCTGGCAACCCTATTCTTGGAGAAAGATTTAGATAGCATTATGAGAGACTGGTCATTCCACCTTAGGCCCTGGGGCTCAGGGAGTGATAGTGTGTCTACCATTTGCAAAAGGGCGTCAGATTCTTTTTACTGCAAATTGTCCCGTTTTTGGAAAACAAGAAATCCTTCTGCAGACAACACGCCTGTCTCTCACATTCACACTCCTAAACCTCAGGAGGGAAAGGCCCACCCAACCCTGCAAAACTGCAAAACTCACCTTGCCGGGTGCGAGGAAGGGGCGGGGGCGAGACGCAGGGCTGTTCCGGGCCCACAGGGGTTAACTGCGGCGGCCGTGGAGCACGCCGGGAGTCGTAGTCCGTGCGCGCTCCCCGGCCACCCCGGTGAGAGGTGGCGGCGACTTCCGGGCCGCGGTGGCAGTTGGTGACTCAGGCTCGGCAGTGTGCGCGGGTTCCGGAACGGGAAGGGCTTGAGCGTCCCCACCCTTGACCCCACGGCTGCGGGCCCGCGGACGCCCGCAGGGCTCAGGGCGGGCCGGCGGCTGCGGTCGCTTTCGCTTCCTCCGGTAGTTAGCTGCGGAGAAGCAAGCCCGCGCGCGCGCCTGTGCGGCCCGAAGCGGTAACTTGCAAAGTTTTGAATCTTTCTCTTTTTGCCATTTTTACATTTGATCTTAGAAAGCTGGTTCCCGAAATAAATGTTAAGGTTTGCACTTAAGCCTGGTCCCCGCTGCCCCAGACTCTTCCGGGTAGGTTTGCCCCGCGGTCTCCCCCGGGGTTCAGAGATGCCCTGCAAATGCGGTGCTGGGCTCCACAGCCCTCCCCTCGCAGACACCGGTGCCCCAGCCCGAACGTTCGTCCTCTCTCTCCCTGGCGTTTACCAAAGGTCTGGGAACCGGACCTCCGTCCGGGGCCAGAGGAGTAAATGCTCCCTGGCCGGGTGCCTCAAACTTGTGAAAGCAGGCCGACCAGAAATAGCTCAGCTTAGAAAACTGCCGGCGGTACCGTAGGAAGAATGAGGCACGAGCCAACTTTGTGGCCAGAAACGCACTCTCCCTGGCTGGAGAAAGCTCTCGAAGGTCTGTACCGGTGCTGGGGCTGTAGCTCTCTTGGCGTAGTGTTTGCTCACCAAGCACAGAGCTCTGGGTCCCAGCACTCAGGAGGTGGAGGCGGGAAGAATCCCATGAAGCCAGCCTGGGCTACGGGAGATCCAGTCTCAGAAAACAGAAAGGAGAGAAATGACATGATATAGGAAACCATATTCCTGGAGGCTCTGCTCCTAAGACTGGAGACAGTGTGGCCTCTCTGGGGCTTTCTATGGAGGTAATGAAGAATGTGGGCTCAGACAAGCATGTACTGTCAATATCTCTTGTCCCTCCTGTAAAATAGCTCATAGTTAGACATGTTAACGTTTTTAAGGTTTATGAACTTATTTCTTTGCTTATTTATTTATTGAGGCAGGGTCTCTACATAGGCCTGACTGTCCAGGAACTTAACTGTTTAGACCAGGCCAGCCTGGGACTCACACCACAGAGATCCACCTGATAAAGCGCAAGGAGGGGGACCTGGGCAGCCGAGGGTGACCGAGGCAGAGGGACAAACATGCCAGGCAGACAGCTTAGTGGGAAGTTTTATTAGAAAAGGGAGGGGAAGGAAAGAGAAAAGAGGCAAAGAAAGACAGAGAAGGAGACAGGAAAAGTCCTGTCTGCCCCGGGGGAACAGCAAGAAATAGGGAAAGAGAGGAGGGGTTTGTCTTTTAAAGGGGTCCTTTGCACTCAGTGCAGACTATGCAATCATGGTTGACCAGCCTGAGTGCATTCTGCCTGGTGACAGGGGCAGACCAGCATAATGCCTGAATCCTTACATTCCCAAGTACTGGGATTAAAGTCACGTGACACCAAGTGCCCAAGGTTTTTATTTTTATGAGTGAACGTTTTTTGCCTGCATGTATGTGTCCATGTATGTGCCCATGGTGGATGCCTAGGGAGGTCACAGACCGCATTGGATCCCTTGGAACTATAATTACAGAAAAGTTGTACACTGCTGGGCTGGAGCGATGGCTCAGCCGTTAAAGGCTAGGCTCACAACCAAAAATAGAAGAAATACAAGAAAGCTGTGCACTGCTGTGTGGGTGGGTGTTGGGGGTCTGAACCCTGATCCAGTGCTCTTAACCAGCAACACAATTAGACATGTTAACACTTGTAGGACAGGGTGGCGTGTGGGTGCTACACATGTCAAGGAGGATTAACTTCCCAATGTCAGAGTTTCTATTTTACCCTTTTTGTTTGCGATAGTCTCACATCACAGTCTTCCCTTCACCCCCGAACCTCCTGCCGCTGCCCGAGCCGCCATGCCCCCATCTCCAGCATCCCTTGTTTGCCATATTTGAAGGATTAATAGGTATGAAAAGATGGGAGAGGGAGAAGGAATACATTAACCATAAGTATTACAAGACTGTTCAGAGAAAGGCCACGTGTGTAGGTGGCTTGTTAGCTCGTAACTTGTACTGAAGTGGATTGGTTTTTTTGAAACGTTAGGTACAGACCCCAGAACCTCACCAAGATAGTAGGCATGAATTACCATGTCTGCTTAATTCTAATAATAAATTCTATATAATTTAAATAAACTTTATTATTATATTGTATTATATAATTATATAGTATTATTATAGTAAAAACCCAATGGAGAAACTGTGACTTTAGCTGTGGACTGGGAACACAGCTCCGTCGATAAGAGTGTCTCCCTAGCATTCACAAGGTCCTGGATTCAAGTGCCAGAGCCAGGTTAAGTGGGCATGGTGGCGCACACTGACAACCCTAGCATTCAAGAGACGGAAGCAGAATTTGAAGCTCGGAGTTAGCCGCAGCTATGTAGCTTCAGTCCAGCCCGGGGCGCACGAAGACCTTATCTTAAACCAGAAAGAGAAATCAGTTCAGGGAACTTGGTGGTGCCTGCGTGTAGCCCCCAGTCTGGAGATGGAGGAGGAAGGACAAGCAAGTATTAGAGGACAGCCTGGGTAATACGGTGAGGCTCCATCTCCAATAGCAACAGTAAAAGGGGGGCTGCAGTTAGAGCTTGAGAGCAGAGCGATTGTCTGCCATGGTTCCGGTTCTAGGTTCCGTCTCCCATCACCTTCAGAAGAAAAACCAACCGAACAAAAATGATGTTTTTGTTTTGAGGGAAGGTCTCTTGAAAGCCCCAGCTATGATATCCAGCATGACTTCTCTCTCTCTCTCTCTCTCTCTCTCTCTCTCTTTTTTTTTTTTTTTTTTTTTTTTTTATTATTTGGGTTTTTTTTTCGAGACAGGGCTTCTCTGTGTAGCTTTGGAGCCTGTCATGGAACTCGCTGTGTAGACCAGGCTGGCCTCCAGCTCACAGAGATCTGCCTTCCTCTGCTGGGATCAAAGGCATGAGCCGCCACCACCGGGCTGTTTTCTTTTTTGTTTTTGTTTTTGTTTTTCCAGTGGCCTGTTTGGCTGGTCTGGAGCTCACAGGCATCCCCCTGCCTCTGCCTTCCAAGTGCTGGGGCTAAAGGTGTGCTTTAACTTTAACTTGATCTACCTCCCAGTGACTGTATTTTATAAGGTTCTTGGGATGGAACCCAAGCCAGGCAAACACTCTACCCACTCTGCCCATCTTGCAGCACCCGCAGCCCCTGACAGGAGAGGAGTTTGATACTCACACAGCAGCATTTCACCTCAGAAACTCCAGTAATTGCCGGCTCACCTCATACAACTAGGTCCTTAAACACTAGCTAATGTATGGAGACGGATAATAGCTGATGTAGAACACTTATTTCCTAAGTCGGGGGGGGGGGGCGGATAAAAAATGTTAGCAAAGCTAAGTGTTCTGGCTAGTTTCTATGTCAATTTAACACAAACTAGTGTCATCTGAGAAGAGTGAACCTCGGCTGAGTAAAATCCTCCATGAGATGGGGCTGTGGGCAGGCCTGTAGGGCATTTTCCTAATTAGCGTTTGGTAGGGGAGGGCCCAGCTCATGGTGGGTGGTGCCAGCCCTGGGCTGGTGGTCCTAGGTTCTCTAAGAAAGCAGGCTGAGAAAGCCAGGGGAAGCAAGCCAGTAAGCAGCATCCCCCCATGGCCTCTGCATCAGCTCCCGCCTTCAGGTTCCTGCCCCGACTTCCTTCACTAACCGGAATGTAAGCAAAATCTCCTTTCCAACTTGCTTATCTTAGTGACGTTTCATCGCCGTGTAAAAGCCTGAGACAGGAACTGTTAGAGGATTGTGGGCTAGCCCCGTGACAGACCTGCCTGGCCGTGTGTGTTTGCTGTTTGTTTATTGAGGACACGGGGCACTCAGAGCTCAGTGAAGGGGTTAAACTCTCCCACTCTCACCACTGAATTTAAGTTTCAGTTCTCTGAGAGGGACACACAGGTGTCTCTTCCAAAGAAACCAATTATCCACCGGACCCTTGCGCTCAGGGGCGAAGGGAATCAAAGTCCTGAATGCGCCCTGTTGTTCTCTTACTGCACAGCTTTCGCCTATGAAACACAAACACGAGACTCTGCGCGCCCACGTGGAGTTTATTGGTGGAGAGGAGAGAAGGGGGGTACGTGCTCGCCTTGGCACTTGCTTTAGAAGGGAAATTGTGCATGCGTAACTGAGTCCCATACACAGCCTGGCTGGTCGTGTGTGGTTGACAAGGCCCTGAGCCACCCGCCCATCGTTAGGGGGCGGGGTCAGCAGACTTGGTTTCCAACATTCCCAGCTCTTATTAAAAAGGTGGGGGGATTGGGCGTGGCAGGTTAGGGAATAAGGATGTTTGAGTTCTCAAGACTGCTTCCTGCTGACTTGGGGGTGTTGATCATCTTTGGGGGATCTGAGAAAGCTGGGGTGCTGCCACATCCTGGTAGCTGGTTGTTTCATCACAGTCCTGACTGTGAAACTCTGGCGTCTCTTTGAGGCCTGGCAAGATGTTGGTAGAGCAGAGGACAAGGTTAAGTTTAGAAAAAAAGTTTTTTCTTAGGTCCCGATACTTAATGGGAGAGTTGCAAGATGGGGGAGGGGCTCCCGAGGGGGTCCCAAGACAAGGAAAGGAAGTCCCAAGGCCAGGAAGAAGTTGAGTAATATTTATTTGGAGTAAATCTGACCCGTTTAACTGGGTCCAATTCGGCTCCCTGGGACTTACTTTGAGGTTTGTGAAAACATAAACATTAGCAGCAGACCCATGTTAGAAATGTTACCTTTACTTAGGAGGCACAAGTGTTTGATTTGTGTCTATAGTTTTTGGCTGGTGTTCCTGTAACAACAGCTAATTGGTTAGATTAGAGTTTTGAATGAGTTATTGAGGGATATATAGAGAGAGG